TGGGACAGATGAACTTTGAATGAAAGCAAGTGCAGTAATGCATTCAGAGAAAACACTTCATCATACTTCTAAAATGAAAGGTTCTGAGCTGCCAGCTAACCTCAAGGTGGAAATCATTCAAGTTATTAGCCCCATAAACTAATGCTCACCAGCAAATAACAAATACAAATAATGATATATTACTCAGCGGTATTTGCCAATTGCTAAGCTATGTATCTTACATGTATCTTACCTGTGTATCTATATAAATCATTACTTTATATAAAACTGCTAGCAACCTCATGCTCTTTTCATTTTATGGGAGAAGGGAAATGTCAAGGTCACGGTGACATCAGCAATCCAAGCCCAAGGCAGCTTGCTGTCAAAGCTCAGACACTTACCTACTGTGTTACACTGCCCTGCATGGAACATCTTCTATTCTGGAACAAATCAGCTTTGGGTTTTTCTTGAAATAGTGTCAGAATTATGATAAGAGTTCAAGGGAGACATGCGAGAATAGGAATAAATCTAGGGCAGGGCTACTAAAATTACCAAGGCTATGGTATCTGAGGGTCAGCTTTTAAAAAATATTGTGTCCAAGATACAAACTGTAGAGAAAATATGAGTGGTTCATGAAATCCTAAAAGTCTAGAACTACAGACTAGCATCCTGATCTTAAAAGGAGGATCTATGAGAGGGACTGATCTTTACCAAATGAGGAAAAACCCTCAGAAATTGGTTATTTTTAGCTGAGGATAGAGTATCCAGAACAACAGTGCCTCTGGCTCAGTATTCTTCCTCCACCTCTACTGTTTTCCAGTTTGTCTGGGACTCCTCATTGGCAGCCGAAGTATATCTGAGACCTTAGCCCCATCATCTGGTAACAAATTACCTTCACTTCTCAAAACAGTATCCATATATTCAGTCTCTCCTGAGACCCTCCTTTTTCATTTGGACCCTGAATGTCCTACCTCCAGGGATTATTCTTCAAGTATTTCATTGCTTTCTCAAGTCATATACCTCTTCTTGATGTCCCTCAGTCCATACAATGGGGATCTGACGCGCTTCCTTATTTCTAATATTAGCATTGCTCTGTTTGTTCTCCCTAAAGCCCTGTTGAGGGACAGTCCTATTCCCCCAAACAAAACCCTTGTTTCTTACTTAATACCAGTGTCTAGGTTCTGTTGCCACTGAATAATTGCCCCACCCCCACCCCATAGACACCTGTCCCCTGGAAAGTAACAGCACTTGGAACTCCCCAACGCTACACTCAGTTTCTTTGATTGCAAATCATGTCTCACTATCGTCTCAAATAGCCAAGTCCACATGATGCTGCTTAGACTTCTGAGTTTATGTGCTGAGAGCTATTACTAAGTAGAAGGAAATAAAACTAGGTGGATAGGCATCTGGCTAGAGAAAATTTACCAGCGCAGGAGATTGTTTACCCTACAGAAAATCGTTCCATTTTAGAGTTTGAACAAACTGTACTGTAACCTGGGTGAGCTTTAACGAGATCTGGTCCAATGGGCAGAGGTTGAGAGAGTAATAGTTTGGGGTCTCAGGTGCATGTCTGGGCCATAGAATAATGGAGCTTCCCTTAACAGATTTTGGAAATATTAGCCATAGATTTAGCGTCAGGATAAAAGAGGTAGGCCAGGGGTCCAGGTATGCAGCCACCTAAGGACTGGTTCAGGGGGGCTTATAGTCCCAGTAAGCTGTGATATGAGCCAGGAATCTATGACCAAGAACAGAGCAAGACAAGGAAGTGTGTGGCAACAGGTCAGGGTGTACAATTATTGAGAGATTACTTGTATAACACTGATGCTTTTTATGTTGTTTGGCTTTATAAACTGGAATGGGAGGAGTATATATGGGAATCAGTGTGATTTAAAGGGCCTGCAGATGAACAGGGAGTAGCCATAAATAATATATAACACCTGGTTACACATTATATATAATATATAAAGGCAAGGAGGGGCTAGATTGAAAAGAAGGGACTGATTTGCCACTGATATTCTGATTTTTGCCTACTTAGTTATACCACCAGAGTTACTAGTTTTTCTCATTTCTATCTGATCACATTGGGTGGATCTCGTGCCAAGCCATGACTTACTCCATGACATTTTCTCTCTTAATCTACCTAGGTTGGAATATCATGCTCTTAATGAAGGATGGAGATAGACATTTAAAATGGAACTATAGTCCATATAACTATCACAGGTTATTAAGGTAAGTAGGGCTATCAGAACAGAGCCCCTAAAATGTCGCAATCCTGTGAAGTGTCCATTGCTACTCCCACAGAGACAGAAGAATACTCTTGAGTGGGCCCTGGCTATAAAGGAATGTGGATTCCTTTGGGTTCTATGCAATATCCATACTCACTATGCAAAATCCAAGAAGCCGGTGATCCTTACTGCTCCTGTGGGAAACTGCTCTCATTGGACCACACAGAATGTCCTGGGTCTGAGTGCATTACAGCCTTCGGACCTGCTTTCCAGAGCTCCTCTCCTTCTCTAATAAAGGATTTCTCACCTTCTCTCTAAGCCTTAGCTCAGGCTCACCACCTGGAGGCCTTCGATAGCTAGTGCTCAGGTGTGGCTATATATATCACGCCTGTTTGGTCAGGACAGCCTGAAAAATGTTGAATTTCAGGCAACAAAACAAAACAAACAAAAACTGGTTGAATGAACTGGTCAATTGTTCCTATAAGAAACCTATATAGTATTTTCATAGGAAGGAAAAACATATTAAATGTAGTGCAATTTTTAGTCTTACTGCTATATAACCCAATTAATGGTTGCATGTAAACTTCACCATTTTGTGCAAAGTTTGTTTATTTCTATAGCACTATGTCAAGAGTTGTTGTGTGCCTGTGTTGACCAACATACCCTATCCACAAGACTGTGTTTCCTAAAGGAAGGGATTCAATCCGATCTATGTCTTTAAAGTTCCAATACTCAGGATAAAGTCTGGGCCAGAGTAGATACACCTGGCTGCTTCCTCTGTTGAAACAAGCTGTGAAATAACCAGTTCTCCCAAGTTCTCTCTCAGCTCCAAACATCTCACTCAGGAACTGCAGAGCACTCCATGTACATATGGTTCTTTCCTAGACAGAGTGAGCATTACATGGAAAAGAAAGGCCCTGTGTTCCTGTTCCTGAAGCTAACCTCCTAATGTTGAAGGTTAAGAAGAGCCATCACCACTATGGATATTCATTTATTCTGCATCGCTTTGTCAAAGTAGTACACTGATTGGGGGGGGGGGTGGATAGTAAAATATTTCAATTTAGAGCCCTGAGATCACCTAAAACACAACAACCCTGATTCCATAAATAAGAATCAAAAGAGCACAATATACATATGGAGGTGAAGCACCATTTCAGAACAGGAGTAGCTAAAATCTGGATGTAAGCGCCTGGCGGACAAGATACATTCTGCGCTGTGAGCTGAGAGACGAGTTGCAGTTTACTGCCCCTTGAAGCTGCTTTGCTGCAGTATTCAGGAATCAGCTGCTTTTAAAAGACACATCTCCAGAAACGTGACAACCCCCCCACCACCACCACCAACACAGGTGGCCAGTGAGTGAGCTTCACTCATCCCCATTCAGAAATTTCAGAAATGCCCCATGAAGGTTGGGTTTTACTCCTAGGTTCCATCTTTGTGAACGTGGCATTTCCTATATACATGGGGTGGGTTCTCAACACTATGTGAGCTGGCCTTTGGGACTCTCAACGTTCTCGGTTCCTCTTATCTTGTAAACCCAGAGGATAAGCAGGAGGTCACACCCTATAAAATAATATGCATAATTCAATTAAGTGAGGAAAAGGACCTTAGTGGAAACAGTGGGGACTATTCATTCTCTGGAGCTTGCAGTCCCCTCCCCTTAGCTGAAGTAGCGGGAGGAGAGGGACCTGCAGTGTTGTATCAATCTATTATGGAAGCAGATAAATGAATACTATGCTCCATCCTCTCTATGGCAATTACTTCATTAACACCTATATAAATACACGTTTTAGCTATTTTAACCACTTTCCTACCCAATGCTGTTTGAATTAATGAAGTGGAATCACAAACCACTACTGTTTTTGCAGTTTTATCCTATTAATTCTTGGTCAAGTATTTCTATGCTAGTTCTTTTTTAAAATTAAAGATGATTTACATTTTCTAGTCCCTTTGTAACTATGAATTGCTTAAGCTCCTCTGCCCAATGAGACTGTTTTTCACAAAAGAGGAAAGATTTTCAAAGCAGTTAACTTCAGTAAGAGACAGTGCATATTAGACTAAGCTCTGAACTCCCAGTGTTTCTGCCCAGGAGCCGTGGACTCTGTGATGACCGTATTTACATTTAAAAGGACAGAAATGGGGAAGAGACGAAGCCGCTTTCAAGTGCTGTGGCCTGTTCTGCCCTCTAGTAGAGCAGAACGGATCCTGTAAGACCTCGGGCGGCGGGGAGAAAGCAGTGTCCTGTAATTACCAGGGATCGAAGGTGGTCGCTGGCCCTCCCGCGAGCAAACGCAAACCTTGGCATCCCAAACAGCCACGGGCGCCCGCCGCCGCGGAGCTCGCGGAGAGTCCGGGTAGGGCTCCGGCGGAATGGCCCGGGGGCCGGCGGCCACTGCCCTCACCGACCCTCTCGGCGCAGTGCAGGCTGACGAGCGCCCGCGCCGACCCGAGCAGGCGAGCGAAGGAGGCGCGGCGCGGAGGAAGGCGCCCGAGCCGCGCTGCCGGCTTTGACGTCGCCCGGCCGCGGCCGGCAGCTCGCGCTCCCCGCACGTAGCGCACAACGTGACCACACACAGCCTTCCCCACCGGCGGCCCGGCAGCGCGTCCGCCTGTTCCGGGCTTCACCCTCCTCCTCCTCCTCCTCGCCTCCGCTCCGCGCACCCCCGCGCACACCCAGGGATTCCAGCCGGCGTCCAGCCCGGGGAGCTCCGCCGCCCGGCCCGGCACCGCCGCCGCTGCTGGGGCCGGAGCGGAGGCCACGCAGCCGGGTGTCTTCCTCGGGCGGCCGCTCCCGCGTTCACCTCCGGACGCCAGCGCTACGTTAAGCCGGGGCGGGGAACCCCGTCTGCGGCTTCCATCTCTAAACTCCCGCGGGTCGCAGTCGCCCCCACCCCTCCACCTGGCGGGGGCGGCGCGGGAGCGAAGAGGACGCGCTGTGCCGGTGAGCACGCGTAGACCAGTGCGCGGATCCAGTCTCTGCCTCTGCCTTCCGCTCGCGGCGGTGCCTGGACTCTGCTTTCCGTCCCGGAATTGGTGCGGCCGGCCCGAGGCCCCTCTTCGCTGGCGGGGCGCTGAGGGCTATTTTGGAGAGCGGTGGTGGTAGCAGTGGCGGCGGCGGTGGCGGCTGAGTCTGGTGCCCGGGAGAGCTCAAGACGCACACTCCGCTCCCTGTCCGTTCCTCTCCTCCTGCTTCCTCCTCCTTCCTCCTCCTCTCCCCTCCCCTCCTTCCCACCCAAGTGCCCCTAGTCCCACTCCTCCTCTTCCTCCTCTTGCTTCTCTTCCCTGCTCGGCGATGCGAGCCTGTATCGTGTAACCGGATTGGCGTTGCAATGGCAACTGATGGAATGGGGGAAGGCAAGACAGCAGGGCTGGGGGCTCCGGACTGCGGGCGGGCGGGCCCCTGCCGCCGCTTGAAGCTTCTCCGGGGACCTTCGCGAGTTACTTTGTAAAGGCGAACCCAGGCGAGGAAGCCTCCGCTCGGCACCCCGAGTCAGAGGCCACTTCCTGCTCTTTGCCATCCGCGCCAGGCTCGCAGCGCTCGGCACCCCCGGCCCCTGCCCGCGCCCGCCCAGCGCGCCGCCGCTGCGGAGATCCAGCCCGCTCCCTTGGAGAACACTTCGCATCAAGGATCCCCTTCCCTTCACGACCCCGCTCCTCCCCATCATCTGCGATTTTCCCAGCGCTCGGTGTGAGTGAGGCGTGCCTGTGAGTGTGTGTCAGGTTATTGTGTTGTGGGAGAGTGTGTGTGTCTGTGTGTGCGTGCATGAGTGTGGGGTGTGTGGGGCCCCTGCGCTCCGCTCACGGCCGCCGCCGGGGAAGGACGGACGGACGGCGCTTCCCCGGGCAAGCGGTTCCTGGGCACCTCGGCGCGGCCCGGGCGCGAGTGGAGCGCACTCGCCTGGCCGCCGGCCTCCGGAAGGTCCCGCTGCTTCCCCCCTGGGCTGGATATGTTCATGTTCACGTGAAGATGGATTTAGTGTACGGTCTCGTTTGGCTGCTGACAGTCCTCCTGGAGGGAATCTCTGGCCAAGGAGTGTACGGTGAGTGGAATCGCGACGCTATCGTGACCTTGTGATTCTTAGGCAAGATAGGCTGGTGATCGAAAATGCACGACTCGCGCCGTTCCGGGCCCCTCCAGGCGTGGCATTTTATTTACACTTCATCACGTTATTGGGAGCTATAAGGAGGCACCGAGAGCGCTGCGGATTGGGCTGCAAGCCGCTGCCACAGCGCCTCGGCTCTCGCTCGGAGTTGGGTCTAGCCGGCACCATCGCACTCCCGCGAACCAGTGGCTTTGCACTTGATTTATCCCTGCTGGGGGCCCGAGCTCCAGCAGTCTTTGATTTAATAATGATTTGGCTCCTCCTGTGCCGTCGTGTCTGTGCCGCGGTTTACCCCGACGGGAGGCTTCGAATGTGACCCCAGTGAGCTCCCCATTCCTTTCTGGGTTTATTCACTCCACGTTTTCTTTTTGTGTGTGTGTGTTAATGTCTATACGACTTGATTTTCCAGGTCAGGAAGTGGGGTGACAGTTGAGTTGCATTCTGCACCAACCATTGCCATGAACACTTACTTGGGGAGGTGCAAATAGCAGGCAGGATTCTCCATGCCAGACACAATTAAGGAACATGTTTTGTGTGAATGGATGAGCAAATGCATGAATGAACGGATGGTCCAGTCCGCGGCGAGTCTCGGCTCAGGGCAGGACACCAGCTCATTGCAACTGGAACCCAGTCTCAGTTCTCTGAAAAACCCATGTCTGGGCTGATAAGGACCAGGAGAAGGGCAGGCTTGTTAATTGGGAGTGTTTTTAAGTCCTTAAGAGCAAATCCAGGTTCCTTTGCTTGTCAGCAGTTGGCACCCTTGGCTTTGGGGACGGAAAGATGCACTCATGCACAGCCCCAGGCACTGGTTGAAGTGCATCTTCTCCTGGGACAAGCAGGCGGTGCCACCAAGGAAAAATAACTTTTGTGATCTCAAGATGTGGTAAGGAGGTTGGGAGAACAGCCTTTGAGGGGCCAGCAGGCCAGAACTCTCCCACAGCTCCCCCAGGGCTAATATCTAGAGAATGTGTGCTGGAAATCCAGCCCACTGCCCACTGTCTCTCTCCGGGATTTGGATTCCAGCACTGCAGTGCTAGGTCAATGGCTGCCTGCTTCCCCCCACCCGGGGAAAGGGAGTGTTAGTGGAAATATGGGACTTTTTCCTACAGACCCTAGCTAGACTTGACCGCGGACTGTGGAGTGGGCTGGGTAGAAGGGGACCTTGAGTCCTCAAACTCTCTTTGAGATCGGGAGTGTGCAGTGGGTCGATGTTTGGGAAGAAAATGGGGGAGATCCGACCTTTACACTGTCTTCACAGTGTTCCGCCCAGGGCTGAGAAGTGCTGGGGAGTGACCTGGGGAGCCTGGGCCCCTGCAGTGTCCATCCCTGGCCTCCCCTGCACTCCCTCTGCCACTCCCCTTTTGTGTCGTTCTGGTTCCCTCCTTGTCTCCCACCAAGAAACATTTGCTTTCTGCCACCTCTCAGCCTCTTCATTTCTGCCCCCTTCCCACTTCCTCCTTCCCAAATGGGAGAGAGCCTGCTGGATGACGGTGACGATGATGGTGGTGGCGGCGGTGGTGGAGGGTGTGTGTGTATGTGTGTGTATGTATGAAAGAGATGCTGAGACTCCTGGCAGATCTTACTTTACTTCTAGGCTGACAGTTGTAGGTGAGTCCTCCAGGAGAGCAGGGATTCCTTTAGTGCTCTTTTACCATCTGCCACACTCTGGTGTCTTGAGCAGCCCGGAGTGGCCATGCTTCCAGGAATGGAGGAATGCGAGAGTTGAGCCTTCTCAGGGAGCTGTTCTCGGGTGTGGGAGAGTCTGAATTCCCTTTATCCCATGTCCAAGTCTTTATTTCTCTCCCATTGGTTCACATGAGCCCAGCAAAAGGAGTTTTTATTTTTTAATTGTGTGTATGCATGTGCTTGTGTAAGGAATAATGAGTAGTGAGAAAGATTGCCTGGAACTGTCTGGATTAGAAAGACATGGTTCCAGTTTTCTGTCACCCTTTGTAATTCAGATTATTTGTGCTGGCAAGTTTTACGTTGAGTGAGATTAGAGTAGTGGGAAGGGTGAGATCTAGGAATGGAGACAAGTAGAAAACCATCGCGTTAGAATAATCCTGTGCCCACATTGGTTAACAGTAAAGAAGGAGACAGCTCTGCTGCTGGACTGTCATAGTGATGAAGGTGTTGGTCTTTTAAAAATTTTTTTTTAATAATAATGTTGCTTTTAGTCACTTAGCTAATAATAGAATCGGCTTTGTGTGAAAATTCATCAGCATTCCTGGTTGTTATAAATGCTAGCTATTAGGTGGGTGAAAATGTGTTTATATGTTACTTTTCAACTATGTCTTATATACCAGAGAAGTGAGGTTCTCAAAGTGGAGACCCCGAATCTTCAGCATCAGGCTCACCTGGCAACTTACTAGAAATGACAAGTCTCTGTGTCCCAGGCTTTCTAAACAGGAAACACAGTGTGCGTGACCCTGCAATCCGTGTTTGCTACTCAGGTCATAATTCTGATGTGTGCAAAAGTCTGAGAACCACGAGTATATATTTCAAAGTTCATTGCTTCCTCTTTGTAAATCATGACTTTTCTTAACCTCAAGTAGTTTTATTTTTATTTGTGGAAGGATTTATGGGGAAGAGAATGGCTTATTTTTATTTAGTTATAAAACATTGGTCAGTTGTAAATGACATAGCCATAAGAGTTAGTATGAGATTAGAAAGTGTGTTTTGAAGATTTTACATGAAGAGAAGTAGAAATGATATATGTTTTTTAAAGCATGGCAATTATGAACAGAGACTTTAAAGACCTAGATGGGAACTCTGCTAGTATTAAAGTCTATATCCAGTATCCGTTTATTTGCCTATACTTCCAGCTGTAAAACCATTCATACTACACAAAAGTAGTGTTGTTTCTTAATACTGTTTTCTAGTAGCGGGTTCAAGAGGAAATAAAAATTGTGTTATAGGTAATTCAGGCAAATCACTTCATTCCAGCCTAGTGGTATGTACATGATTTATACATATATCACTGTAACCTTTCCTTTTTGAAATAGCTGGTCAGTCCCTTTAATCTTCCACATCTTGGCTGGAACACAGATCATGAGATTCAGATTTTTTAAAAGTTCCTGACAACACGTTTTAATGTACAGACTGTGTTGTATTGAGTTACTATAATCTTCTTCCTGTTGTGCTCAATTAGAGTGGCACCCATGTGCACCACTTCAGTGTAAGTTTCTGCTGTGAACATAGGATCTTATTGTCATTTACTGTGGGATATTGCCTAGCAGACTAACTGCATAATTGCTGAGATTTGTGTATGTGTGGCAGCTGCATAAGGGAGATTCTCCTTTAATTTATACTTGCCTGCCTACCCTCCGTTAATAATTCTGATAGTATTAAAATATTTTAAAAAATGGTATTTTCTTATATATTCCTTATATATTCCATGGCATTACTATGATAAAAATTATTTGAAAAGACTTATACAAAGGACCGCAAAAATTGTTTACAGCAGAGCAGCATCAGAAAACAAGGTGGACCTCCTTAGAAAACTTCTGTCAACTATTCTGATGGAAAACATCTATTTGGCGACATCTATAGTGGCATAGTTTTAAAAATCAATTTTCGTAAGTTACTGAGTTTTAAACTGTTATTTGTATTCATTTTTTCCCTCAGAATACCCTTGGGATTTTAAAATTTTGTTTTAATTTTATTTTCACTCAATTAAACATCACTGGAAAGCAGACATCATCTGGTATTCATTTGAGGCATTATTAATTTCCTTGCACCCCAATTGCATCGGCTTAAGGATAACTGATTGAACGAAGCATCAAGGATCATAGTGTAAATTCCAGGTAATGTGTCCGCTCGTGGTTATACCTAGAGCTGAGTGATCCAAAGCATTTTCCTAATTTGAGGGGTTTTCTTCGTAAGTCATTCTGTGGTAGTAAGCTGTGTAACTGGTTTCTAGAGATGCCGATGATAATGACAATTCTGAGAATCATATCTCCTATACACGTCTCGGTTGCCTTGCTAAAAGTGAAAAAATTGCTTCACTGCTACACACCGTATTTTTACATCTGGCCCATCAAAACGTTAATTTCCAATGAGACTCATAAAAGATTATAATGGTATTAACACAGGACAAATCCCCACTGCAAAGGAAAAACAAAATAAACTTCATGTCTGAATAGTTTTTAATAGGAACCAAATCAACCAATGATGTGGTATCTTAAAATAGTTGATACACTGTCTCTAAATAGCTTCCAAGATGTGCTAGAAGCAGCAAATAGAATAAGTTTATGAAACATATGTGTATGATGAATTAGCAAGCTATATTCACTCAGTTCAAGTTATATCAATTAATCTCATACAGTTGACTCCCAAGCTGTAGCTGGTTAGAAAAGGCTCAGAGGAACTGGGAATCGGGAGATTAAGATAGGAGGGATCTGGAAGATATTTCCAATTCTCAGTGGGTCGAATCTGGATAGACAGATTGACCTAAAAGGATAAGGATGCTTTGTAAGGTCAGTTGGCCATTACACTCAGTTTCAGAATGTTTCCATCCTCACAGCAAAGATATCCTAAATGCACTGAGTTACAATTTTTGTCCAGTTTGAGTTTTCAGAGACCCTGTAGTTAGGTAATGCTTTGGACTGATCATGTCTTTAGGGTGTCAGCTTGTGGAAGGAGAGGAGGAGATGACTTTAACACTGTTGCTGAAAACATCAATTTGAAATTTGATCAAATACCATCAGTTCTAACTATGTCTCTTCACCCTCATCACTCAACTGTTCCTGTGTGCACACACACACACGCGTGCACACACACACACTCTTACATCATCACCACCTTGGCCACCATCACAAGGAAAAGTGGGCAGTCCCTTGTATCCTGGGATTCTTTTTGTCTGTTCAAAGTTGTTCTTGCTGGTCATGTGACTGAGAATTCTCATGCCACCTGGGAAGATAATTTTAGACAGTATT